AGAACTGGGCTCATGTCCTGCCTCAATATAAGGCATCTATGTAACCTTAAGAAAGTCACCTAATCTCTTATTGACCAGAGCAGCTACCTAAGACTGTAAGCTGCAGAGCAATTGTTAATATGCATTGTATATAAGCTTCTTAAAAGTAATGATGGGTATATTTTTTTTACATTTGTATCCTGTGGACTAAATGGCAGAGGGCATTCCCTCACAAAAAGTTACATATACCAATGAAATAACAAGTCCATAGCAAAAATTATATATGTATATTATATATGACTACATGTATAATGTATAATGCTATATAATATACATACCAATGAAATATTATATACAAATGTTTAAGAAATATGTATATTGTACATAATATATTTTATAATGTATAATATAAATTATATAATTTTTATATTTTATTTATATATCCATATAATATATAGTAATATTATGTAAAATTTAAGTATAATTGTTGTATATCTACATCTACTTAACATTAAACAACTAATTCAAATAAATATATATTTAAACAATTTACACTCAAGAATTATATTCTATGTACAATATGGACATAGACTTCTTAAGACTGTAAGTTTCAAAAGAGGCACCAAAGCTACATTGGCAGAAAAGATTCCCCCTTAGCAGTTAGCTCCCCATTCCAATAAAATCAAAGGTCTAGTCCAAAAAATAAAAGACTATCCATAACATCATATTAGCTCTTCTCTCTGTTATCATCTTCATCTCTGTATAGGGTATATACTTTTCCTTTCATTTAGCCGTAGTGTGAATACTAGTAGCAGCAGCAATAAGAGTGAACATTTATATATGTCCTTCTTTGTGCCTGGCACTGTGTGAAGCACTTTACAATTATTATCTCATTTGATCCTCATAACAACCCCTGGAAGTAGGTGCTATTATTATTATTCCCATCTTACAGATGAGGAAACTGAGGCAAATGGAGGTTTGGGGGTTTGTTTAGGTGACTTATTCTTCAGTTTTGCTTTCTTCACTTTATTTCATGTAAATCTTCCCAAATTTCTCTATATCCCTCATATTTATTATTTCAATAGCCTTATGTTACTCATTGCTTTGCTATATTGTAGTTCATTTAGCTATTCACCAATTTGTGGCTATTTAGGTAAGTTTCAGTTGCTTGCAATCACAAATAATGTGTTTATACATACTTCAGCTCTTTTTTTCTCTATGGCACTTTTAGGTTTTATTATCAGTAATGGAGTTAACTGGGTCAAAAAGCATGATTATTTTTATAGTGCTTGCTATAGACTGACAGATATTCTCCAAAATGATCTTTCCAATTTGAAATTCCCTTAATGTATGAGTATATTTACTTATCCACAAGATCAATAGCATTGAATTTTGTCTGATTTATTTTTGCCAACTTTATGGCTATGAAGTAGGGTACATCAAAATTGTTTTAATATGCACGTCTCTGATTATTAGTGAGGTTGAATTTTAAGTGATTTTTACACAATGTGCATGAGACTACTATTATCAAAGCAACATATCTACAAAACAACATGGAGAAATAGAATCAATAGTGACTCAAAGGATGTGATAACAGTGTGACATCAACATCAATAAAAGGTGGGGTGATGTTCAGCATTTTGCAACAAGTAAAACTAAAACACTCATTTGTTCAGCTGAGGGTTCTGCAATGTACTAAGTTCTAGGAGTGTCACAACGCTAAGAAACTTCAAGTCTAATTAAGAATCCATGACATATTCAGAAAATCTAACACAGTATGTAATTTGGTTCTAGACTGTATTATTGAATTTTAGAGAAATTATAATGGACTAGAGTAGTTAGGGAAGACTTCACATAGAGGGAGAGTGGGGCACTTGTTCTGCCTTGAAGGATGTAGAGGGAATAGATTGATTTGGAAGCTATGGCAGGTAGCAACAGGGAACAAAGTAATTAGAAGAGCAGTGAGTATTGTATGCAGAAGAATAGAAAGAAAGTCAACCTAACTGAAGCAGAGGTCTGTGTTAAGGAGTTGTTTTTGTTGTTAACTCATTTCAGTTATATCCGACTCTTTGTGACCTCATTTGAGGTTGTCTTGGTAAAGATACTACAGTATTTTGCCATTTCTTTCTCGAGCTCATTTTACAGATGAGGAAACTGAGGCAAACAGGGTTAAGTGACTTGCCCAGGGTCATACAGCTTGTAAGTGTCTGAGGCTAGATTTGAACTCAGGAATTTGAATCTGACTCCAGGCTGGACACTCTGTCTACTGTACTGCCCCATTGTGATAAGGAGTGAGTTAGAGAGATAGAGAGGGGCCAGGTTATTGATGTTATGTAAATATAAGAATAACAAGATAGTAGATTTAGAACTAGAAGGACTCTAAGATATCATATAATCCAACCATCTTATTTTGTAGATGAGAAAACTGAGGGCCATGGAGGTTTTCTGGAGATTAAATGGAGATAGTACAGGACCTGAAGTCAGGAAAACCCAAACTCAACACTTAAGCTGTATGACTCTGGGCAAGCCATATAACCTTCTTGTGTCTCAGTTTCCTTATCTGTAAAATGGGGAGAATAATGACATCTACCTCCCTGGGTTGTTGTGAGGATCAAATGAGTTAGCATGTGTAAAGTACTTTTCAAATCTTAAAGAGATAGTAAATGCTAGCTACTATTATGGTTATCAGGTGGCAGAGTGGATAAAGTCCCAGGCCTGGAGTCAGAAAGAAGAGAAGTCATCTTCCTGAGTTCAAATCTGGCCTCAAACACTTACTAACTGTGTAAGTCACTAGCTGGGCAAGTCACTTACCCTTGTTTGCCTCAGTTTCATTATCTGTAAAATGAGCTGGAGAAGGAAATGGCAAACTACTCCAGTATCTCTGCCAAGAAAACCCCAAATAGGGTCACGGAGAGTCAGACGCGACTGAAACAACTCAATAGCAAAATTATTGCTATTATTTTTGTTATGTGACTTGCCCCAGGTGACACTAGTAAACTACAAAGCAGGGATTCAAATGCACGTCTTCTGATATCAAAGCCACCAAGCTCCTCATTACATTGCTCAGCCTCCCTACAAGGAGTTTGGGCTTGATCCAATAGTCAAGAGGAAAACATTACAGGTTTTTAAGGGCATGACTGAAGTCGTGAGAGCTGTGTAATAGTAAGACTGACCTGGCCTTGGGTGGGAGGGTGGGGTGGGGGCAGGATGAACAGGACAAAGCAGAGACTAGAAGAAGCAGAAAGATAGCTCAGGAAGCTATAGTAATGATCTAGACCTGGAGGAGGACAACGGAGCAAAAACAGAGAGGAAGAAAGGAAACCTAAGAACCATTATATAGGAAGAATTCATAGACCATGATGACTAATAACGTGGGTAATATGGGTAAGACAGACATGGGGCTATGGGTAAGAAGGAACAGAAGGAGCCAGAGTGGACTTTGAGGTCCTGAGGCTTTAGAATTAAGAGAACTGTAGTGTCACTGGCATCCACAGAGAGCTGGATAGGGGAGCCAGGTGAAGGCAGAGGCACAGAATCCCCACTCAGCCTCATTTATGCCCTTTGAAGTGATTACTACAGTAAGAGATCAGACAAATGTAACTGGGAAGGGGAATACAAAAAGAAACTGCCTAAGTCATGGTGTGGTGTAGGCAAGTGATGATGACTCTGTTCATTTCCACGTCAAAGAATTACTGTAGCATTTTTGCAATCACTCAAGGAAAACTAAAACACTAAAGAAATGAAGATCTCCTAGCCAGCACATGCATATCTTTTGTTAACTGTAAGGTGGTGCCTCCATATTATTTGAGATCACTTCCACCATTCTAGTTCTTTGACTTTTTCCTTCCTTGCTGGTATTCCCCACAATACACCTAGTTTCCCAATGCCCTTCTGAACAACCTCCACCCACTTCCCTCAGACCCTAATGGAGATGACTCAAGATCCTGATCCCAAGAGCCAAGGAAATGAAACATTGTTCCAGATCACCAGCTCTTCTAGCTCAGCCCTTGCCACCTTTTTCAAGGGGAACAACCTTTGTGAATAATGGGTCCTCCATCCCCAGCAGCACCAGCATTACTCACTGATCAACTGTCACTGACAGGAAGGTAAAAGTCCAAAAGCTTTGAAATTAGCAGTGCCTCTCAGACTGCCAGCCCTGTTTTCAGCCTGCCCCTTAAATCCATAGTCCAAGGAAGCCATTTTTGTGGATATATAACCTGACAACTTCCTCTGTTGGAGGAAGGTCTCCCTTTCTAATCAATCACAACTACTAAAGACCCAGAAAGTTCTTGATGCTAAAATTCTTGGCATTGTCAAATGGTTCAGAAACAGGGCTTTATTCACAGAAATCACATTAAAGAAGATGCCTTCCCATCTGCTCAGCTGTAGCAATGATGAGGTCTTTCCATCAGACCTGCAGCTGAAACCTCTCCCCTCATTAGAATGTGAGCTCCTTAAGAGCTGGAGCAGCCATGCTTTTCTATTTGTTTCCCAGCCTATAGAATGGGTTTGCACATAGTAAATTTTTTCACTCATTCATTCTTAAGCTTCTATCTTTCATCTTTCAAAACTTATTGTGAAGAAAGAAGCCAAGACTCATTTATACTCTAAAGGGACAATGATTGACAGCTTAATATTTGACCCTTCCCTGGGAAGATTTTGTTTAATCTAAAAACCAAGACCTCAGGTTAAAAAGCTCACATTCTAAAAATCTTAATATTGGTATTAGTCAATATATGCGGGAGGTGCTTGGAAGTGGGAGAGGTAGGATGGGCTTGTTGTCTTACTCTACCTAGGACAAGATTGATCCTGGTCAACATTTTAAAGGTAAATAGGCTATCAATAAGAAAATCTATAGGCAAGAGTTTCCCATTCTGTTTCAATAAGCTGAAAATACAAAACACCTTTAAAAGGCTAGTCAGTGCCTAGAGACACAAGGCTAATACTGACTTAGATGCATTCCAGATTGTAGTGTTACTGTTTCAGTTAATGCTCATATGCAACCTGTAAAATGGGCATACCTGTGGAATGAGGACAGAGCTTCCGTTCCTTTCTGCATATTATCCCTGCTTTTCTTCTTCCAGATGGTCTCCAGTTCCATGTATTTGCATTCCCAATCAGTTTTTGTCTCTTGTTTCTTTGGTGAGACCAGCCACCATTGGTTTACATCTTTCTATTCTGCCAATCATATCTACTGAAGGCCATATATTCTTCCCTCACAATTATTTTTTTTTCTTTTCAGCAATTCAGGAACGGCGTGCTGAGATTCCATGCTTTCCTTGAAACCCACAGAGTCCTCTGCTTCCTCAAGGATGGAAAAATTTTCCTTTGTCTTGTAGCATTTATTTGTAGACATTTTACTTTTTTTTTTTTTACCAGATATGGAGGACAATTTTCCTTCTGCTGTTAATGTCTTCCTTGTTGGTTTATCTGCTTGTCCTTGGAGTTTTCTTCCTACTGAGGTCATAGATAATTTCAGTCTTTCCTCCTCTTAGTTTCTTACTATTAATCACTTTTGACTCTCTCTGCTATGATGATAGTTGCTCTCAGGGCTGAATTTCAAAGCATCTCAGTCTCTTCCCTACTCTGGGCAATTAATTCATAGTTAGCCCTTCCGGGTCTCTGCTTCAAATGACTTCTGTGAAGACCTAGCTGGCCAATACTGGGCTCTTACCATCAGGCTTAGCGGAGTGCCCCACAGCCATTCACACGTGTTCAATCCCAGTTCCCGATGTTCTTCAGCTGTCTGAGCTGGGTGCTGGCTGACTGAGCTCTGTTGGGGCACGGAGTGCTTGGCCTTGCCCCTAGAACAGCCTGAGCACGCTTCGACTATTTGAATTTCTCCTGAACTGGGAGGGGCATGTTGGAGATAGAGTCTAGTTCTGTTTCAAGCCCCAGGGTCAGCTTATGCAGTCCTGCTTCAGGAGAGTACGGTGGGCAGTGGGGGAAGTGGAGCTGAGTCAGCTCCTTAGGATTTAGCAATTATTACACTTCCCTATTGCTAGTTCATCAGGTTTTTACTTCATTTGGGTTCTTGGCGTCCTAGAACATAGAGACAGTAGAAATTACTTCATCTCTTACATATAATCCTTACATTAGAGAGACTAGAGAGGTTCTGAGGATGGGGAAAAGGCCAAATCCTCCATCTTGTTGGTCACCTGACCTGGAAGAGCCTCTTTTTTTCTGTTTTTATCTGTTTCTCTGTTTCTCTTTGTCTCTTTCTCTCTCTCATCTGTCTATATCTAGTATATTGATAAAATATTTTCAATTTAGAATTGCCAAGCTGATGTCAATGTATGTCTTATCATTTATATTTCATTTGCTCAAGAAACATTATGGGTTTAATATGTATCTCATAAGCACTGTGGTGGGAGGCACAGAGATGGAACAGGAGAAAAAGATAAGAATTAATGAAATATGTCCTCTGTTTCAAGGACCTTAAAATCTAATGGGAGATGGAGGGAAGAAAAGATATGAGGATATAAATATAAAATACAAATTAGAATATTATTGTAAGTTTAAAAGAGGAAATGAAAGTGATATGAGATCAGAAAAAGGACATATCACTTCCAACAGAAGTAATCAGGGAATGTTTCATGAAAGAGGTGGCATTTGAGTATTGGAGGTGGGGGTAGGGGTGGAGGCATCACAAGTATAGAAAATATATAAATATAAAAACTGATCTGAAATTTAAATGTGGTATATTTCTCCTTTCTGCTACTGGAAAATATTCTGCTGCCTCTCTGAGAATAATTTTGGTCTTTTATTATTTTGGGGGGGGGAGGAGGAAACAATAATAATAGGATCCCTCTAGAAGAAGTTGATATAGCTTCAATATATCACTATCTATTTTGTTTACTTGTGTATTATTTTTACATCTACTTCCTTGTTGATCTACATCATGACTTCTCAGATGTATCATCAATTGTGCTGAAAGGATCTTTCAGTCAAAGTGTGGTAGTGATGGGCTTCCCACATGTGTTCAAGATTTGTTGATATGGATGTCCTGGGCAATTTCACGGTGTTTATTTTGTACTTCAGAAATCTGACCAGTCAGTTGATTTTGTAAACACGGTGGCTCTGGTAGAATTTTTGAGAATAGCCCAAGTTCTGTAGCACCAGTATTGGGGGAGAAAGAGGTAATACTAGAGTGACATTGACCTAGAGAGACCGCATCTGAAGTACTTGATTCAGTTCTGGGTACCTCATTTTAAGAAGTACATTTATATGTTTTTCAAAAGAAGGGAACTGGGGCTGGGGGAAGGTGAATGGTACTCAAAACTATGGCAGACAAGTGATGGTTGAAACAAAAGAAAAGACCTGAAAAGAAAAGAAAAAAGAAAAGGAAACATGATTGTGATCTTCAAATATATGAAGGATTATCATGGGGAAGAAGCATTAGTCAGTCAACAAACATTTACCTCTCTTTATTTCAGTGCCTTCCCTCTTTTAAATGGTTTCTATTTATTCTGCATGTAGCTTGTTTGTATGTATTTGTTTGCTTATTGTCTCCCCTCATTAGATTGTGAGCTCCTTAAGGGGTTGTATTTTGCTTCATCTTTTTTTGTTGTTGTTGAGGTAATCAAGGTTAAGCGACTTGCCCAGGATCACACAGCTAGTAAGTGTCTGAGGTCACATTTGAACTCAGGTCCTCCTGACTCCAGGGACAGTGCTTTATCCAGATTAGCACCTAGCACCACCTAGTTGCTCATTTCTTTTTTTTATCTTCTTTTTTTTTTATTCCCAGTGCCTGGCACATAATAAGTGCTCAATAAATGTTTATTGACTGACTGACTATATGCCATGCACCATGCTAAACAATGAGGATAAAAAGAAAGGCAAAAACATAGGCATCTCCCCTCAAGAAACTCACATTACAATGGGGGAGACAATATGCACATGACTATGTAGATATGTAGAGTAAAAATAGAAGATGACCTCTTGAGGGAAGGTATTGGAGGTGAGATAGAGCAAAGAAAATGGCTGGGGTGGGTAGGATGGTAGGAAGGGCCTTCTACAAAGGGTAGTATTTGGGCTGAGTTTTTTTTATTAATTTATTTTGATTTATCAACAAACACTTCCATAAACTTTTGAGTTTTAAATTTTCCTGCCCCTCCCTCCCCACCTCCCTCCCCAAGACATCACACAATCTGATATATGCTATACATATACATTTCTATCAAACATATTTTCACATTAGTGATATTGTAAGAAACAATTAGAACCAAAAGAAGGAACCACAAGAAAGAGGAAAACAAAACAAAACAGAAGGAAGAAATAGCAAATAGTATGCTTTGATCTGCATTCAAACTCTATAATTCTTTCTTTGGATGTGGATAGCATTTTCCATCATGAGACCTTTGGAGATGCCTTAGATCCTTGCATTGCTGAGAAGGGCTAAGTCTATCAATGTTAGTTGATAGCACAACATGGCTGTTACTGTGTACAATGTTCTCCTGGTTCTGCTCACTTCATTCAGCATCAGTCCATGCAAGTCTTTCCAGATTTTTCTGAAGTCTGCCTGCTCATCATTTCTTATAGCACAATAGTTTTCCATTACATTCATATACCGCAACTTAGTCAGCCATTCCCCAATTGATGGGCATCCTCTCAATGTTTAATTCTTTGCTACCACAAAAAGAGCTGCTATAAATATTTTTGTACAAGTGGATCTATCCTTTTCCCATTTTTATGATCTCTTTAGCATATAGCCCTAGAAGTGCTATTGCTGGGTCAAAGGGTATGCACATTTTTATAGCCCTTTGGGCATAGTTCCAAATTGTTCTCCAAAATGGTTGGATCATTTCACAACTCCACCAACAATGCATTAGTGTTCCAATTTCCCCACATCTTCTCCAACATTTATCATTTTCCTGTTTTGTCATGTGGCCAATCTGATAGGTGTGATGTGGTACCTCAGAGTTGTTTTGATTTAGAGCATTTTTTTTTCATATGACGATAGATGGCTTTAATCTCTTCATCTGAAAACTGCCTGTTCATATCATTTGACCATTTATCAATTGGAGATGGGCTGAGTCTTGAAAGAGGCCAGGAAGCCCAGGAGGCAGAAGTGAGGAGGAAGAACACTTCCAGGCATGAGGGACCAATAGATGAAAGTATAGGGGGGCAAATTAAAACTCAGTGAAAGACAAAACAAAAAAAATGAAGACAAAAAGTTCTTCAGAATTGGAGGAATGGACTTCCTGGGAAAGCAGTGAGTGCCTCCTATCTTGAGATCTTCAAGCAGAGGCTGATGACCCCTCGTCAGGAATGTTGTGGAGTAGATTCCTGCTTTATGCATAGGTTAGACTGAATGATATCTGAAGTCCCATCCAACTCATAGATTCTATGAAATATAGACAAACTCTGTTTGTTTTGGAGAGGACATAAGATTTATATTTATATTTATATGATGTCTTTCTCCTTACATTATTGGTTTTGGCATTTCTGAAAAAAAAAGTTTTATACTAGATTAGGTTAAGCCTTCTATGTGACAGATTAATGACTATTCACAGGTGTTGGCCTTATTTTCCTTCACGCCTTGTACCAGGAGACTGCCAAAAGTCTCAAGGACCTCCTGACACCCAAGGTTATATGACAGCTAAACCAATAGTGAGGTGAGGTTTATTCTGCTATTCCAGCATTATCTGTACAACTGATGGTGTCAGACAGGTTGGTTGCCAAGTTGGAGTTCATGGTCTCCCTTGATTTGGGGAGGTGGCTATCCTTAGAAGAATGGGGGCAGGAATTTCAAGTTTTCTTTCTTTTTCCCTATCCACATGTTCCCCTTTCTTGAATGTATTGTTATAATAATAACAATATACAACACTTATATCATACCTACTATGTGCCAGACAGTGTGTTAAGCACTTTACAATTATCTCATTTGATCCTCACAATAATTGGGGGCATTTACAGATAAGGAAACTGAGGCAAAGAGAGGTTAAGTGACTTGCCCATGATCACAAAGCTAGTTAAGTGTTGGAGTTCATGTCTCCAGGCCCAGTGCACTATGTGGCCATATGGGACCCAATGTTCATTGACTATCTAGTCTGGAGTATGATAGACAATTTGTGGACTAGGTGGGAAAGGGAAGGTAGTGATGCAGTTATGATGATTCTGCCTGAAACAGCAAAATTGCCTAATGTCCCAAAGATTCCATCTTAAATCTCTCTCTTCCATAACATGTAAGACACAGTAGGTACTAAAACTTGTTCAATCATTACAACAAATCATTTACTAAGTATTAGCATTATAATCAGAGAAACCCTAGGCTATAATTGGTAATAGGTGAAATAGTTGTGAAAGTCACTCTGGGCCTTCTTTTCCTCATTTGTAAAATGAAGGGGTTGAACTAGATGACCTCAGAGGTCCCTTTCAGCCTGAAATCTATGATCCTATTTACAAACAATTATACCAATAGATTTACAACATATGGGCAGGTAAGTGGCACAATATATAGAGTGCCCTGAAATCAGGAAGATCTGAGTTCAAAATCTAGCCTTAGACACTTACTAGCTATGTAACCCTGGACAAGTCACTTGACCCTGTTTGCCTCTGTTCCTTTTCTGTAAAATGAGCTGGAGAAGGAAATGGCAAACCACTCCAGTATCTTTGCCAAGAAAACCCTGAATAAAGTCTGACACAACTCAAATGACTCAACAATGACAGAAATTTGTGACGTATCGATAGTTATTTAATATAAAGGACAGTTACTGATTGCTGGTAGATAATTAGACCG